TCTGTCTGTCTGTCTGTCTGTCTGTCTGTCTGTCTGTCTGTCTGTCTGTCTGTCTGTCTGTCTGTCTGTCTGTCTGTCTGTCTGTCTGTCTATCTGTCTGTCTGTCTGTCTGTCTGTCTGTCTGTCTACTACTTTTCTGCAATGCACTGCCTTTTAAATCCACAAGTTATGGCATTTATAAATGTAAATTTGAACTGAATATTCTAGTCTGTGAGCTTTCTAAAAAGAAAATTAAACTCTACCCTAGATGTCCAAAACTATTTTTTACCCATTTAAATCATTTTGATTTACTACTGCAGTGTTCACTTGCATGCAGACAAATAAATTAAATAAAAGTCATCTAAAGATGATTGCATATTTACATTATTTAAAGCATTTTTGTGGTTAATTTTCAAAATGAACTTATATAGTTTTTTTTACCTATAATTTTGGATGGGCCATTTAAAAATATATTTGGAGCTTTCTAAAGTATTTAATACTGTTTCACAATTGTGTTTAATTTTATGATTTTAGTCGTGTGGTCATGCATAGCCAACACATTTTTTATATAATATATAATAAAATACAATTTAAAATATAATTTAAAATTATATTAAAATCAGCATATTCTGAAATTGATGACAACTATGTTAATATGATAACAATTATTTTATTCAAGTAGCCTACTTAATTTTTTGTTCTTCAAAAAAGTAAGTTCTACTTTAAAAGTAAACAGAAATTGTAATGTTTTGGGGAAAAGCACATCACTAGCCTAGTAAAAACTAAAAAGTAATATATTTAAAATACATTTTTTTCATACTAAGTATAGTTCAAATCTATTAACACTGACATGTCGCTTGAGACTTACTGATATAAAAATTATAATAAAACTTTATTTGGAGTAGGCTACTACTTGTGCACAATGCACATTTCTTAATATTAAGCCTAAAATGTGTTGTAATGTCACTATTGATGAGGATTGTATGATATCGGTCTTTAAATGCACAATATTTAAAGTGTACCTGAAGTATACTTGCAATAGTTCCACTTTAGCACAAATTTTCTTCAGTACATCTTTTGGACTTAGCACTACTTCCACACAATTAAAGTGAATCAAGTACAAAATTAGTTGTTCTAATTTAGCAGACTTTAAGCATACCAGTTTAGTATACCAAAAGTACAATTGCAGGGTATTTTTTATTAAGTACATAATTATGTAAATGTATTTGTAGTAGCCTATACTTAGCATGAAATAAATGTATTTCAAATACATTTTAGTATATTTATTTTTCATTAGGGTAATCTAGGATAAAATAAGATCTGGTGGCATGATATCTCTTGATTAACTCAATGCAGTAGGCCTATATTACAGGTTCTGTAACAGAGTGGACATTTTGTGTCAATTTGTTTAGGCTTTAAGTGTTTTTACCTGTTACTTTTTTGAAAACGTTTCAAAGTTTCAAAGCTGGAAAGTTGTAGGAATGACCTATATGGCCAGCACCCAGGCACATGCACACATAGACATCAAAGGGGGCTTGAGCACCTGCCCTTTTTCTTCCTCAAGAGAAATTGCCCCTTTTTCTGTTTTTTATTTTTTTATTTTATTATTATTATTATTTTTTAAATAAATGAATACATGTATATATGTGTGCATGTGTGTGTTACTGTTTGCACACACTCTTTCCCTGACAAACAAATAAAAAATCCAAATATCAGATCGGGTCAGGAAATGCCTTTCTCCCTCCTCGTCTCTGCAGCACAGCAGTGTAGCACACATTGATCGGCACATAACAGGACAAATACACAAAATAATGTTCTTTTTAGCAGCATCATATGACCCCTTTAAGTTAGCTAAAGTTTAGCTAAGGCAATAGGAAGTCTAGGTTGGGCCAGTGCGCCTTCTTTCACTGCATGATTCTGTTTATTAAAATGCATTTAGAATGATCACAAAATTCAAGATATGGGGGCAGAAATGTATATATTTATATAATTTCATATAGTTAATCAGAATCACAGGAAGACTGACGTTTTTTCCACCAAAAAGCAGCATGATTTAAATGTGATGTTGATTTTATACAGCAGTTCAATAAACAAGAATTTAAAATGAAGACACTTACGTTTTAGACACAATATTGACTGTTTTTGCTCTATTTCGCCAACAGATATCATAACAATTTGCGTCTCCGAGCAACACGACGCTGTTTTGTTCCTGAATGAATCAACTGTTTAAATTATTTGGTTCAGTCGCAATGACTCACTTATTAACAGTGACTTGCTGCCACCTACTGGCAGTTTTAATTTCACATTTAAAGTATCTTTTCATTTTTCATGTTTTATGTTTAACATATCAAACAGTTTTAATGCATTTGTAACTGCAGGTTAAATACATGCATCTAAATGCCACTTCTAATGCAGCTTCTGTGTTTTCTCTGCATTGCAAAGATTAATTTTGCCAATACTGATTTCATTTGCTTGGTAACATCCCAAATGACTTATTATTCTAACTGATTGATTAATTTTAAGAATTTGACTGAAAAGATGATGCACACTTTTAGACAAGGGCTTTATAAAGGCAAAAATGCCCATAAAAGGTAAAAAATTAATTTAAACTTATTGGAAAATATTAATTTCTATCACTACTGTGAACTGATCATCACACAGAATATGCAGAATATCAGAAACTTTAGGAGTCAGCTGTCCCCGGTAGTCCTTAAGATATCAGCACAATCAAAATATAATACAATTTGCCTTCAGCACATGCAAAATATCGTCTAATTATCATTATCAATAAAATCCCAGAAAATACTGAGATATACTTTTTGTTAATATCGCACACCCCTAATATATTTAACGTTTTGTTTAGAAAAAATTCTAATAAATATGAGAAGTGCCCATTTTTCCACTTGAGCTCCTGCCCCTCAAAATGTCTGTGCACGTCCCTGCCAGCACCCGTCTGCTATTGCTGCCAAAGGTCTTTCATTTCGTATATATTCGTTTTATTGTGCTCTCTTTTGTCCCAACAATACTATCCCTGCTCTTTTAAGATCACACGCTGTTGTGTAAAAGGAGCGCAACTCCACATTCAGCGCATGCGCACTGAATCAAGTGTTCATGTGCAGCGCAAACCGGACCCGCTTTGAATAAAAAACAAAACCTTCACTGAATGAAATGAATCTGGAGTGGAGGACATGGATATTTGAAAACGAGAGAAAACGAATAACAGTTCCTGAAGACCGCAGCAGGAGTGGCGTTTAAAGGTAGTATTATTGTTCGATGGTGCGCGTCATGCAGGAGTGAAATAACTGCGCGCGTCAACTGCATTTCTATCGCTGGCTTTGACGTGTTCCCATAACAACAACGCGCAGCACATGACAGGAATGAGAGGAGACAGCGATCATGCCGTTAAAGCCACTTGGGTCCTCCAACTTTTCTGCGTCTCTCTCCTGACTTCATTTGGGAAAGGAGAAGATGGGTCCTGCCACGGAGCCTTTGATTTATACTTTGTTTTGGATCGGTGAGTTTGTAGTATTGCTGTACACGTCTATATGTTTTATAGACTGTATGTTTATGAAACGTGCAAGCACACGCGCACACCTCTCTCTTTCTCGCTTTCTTTCGGCGTGTACTTATCTGATTGAAATATTATCAATAAAAATAACTCTAATGAGCTCGTTAATAGTCTTGGTATTTTTAGGTAGCCTACAGTTTTTTTTCTACATAGCTCCCAGGAGCCCTTATATGGCCCTGTTTAACTTGTAATGCACCAAATGTTCACCATCAGGTCGGGCAGTGTGTCTGACAACTGGATGGAGATCTATGGTTTTGTGGAACAACTGACTAATCGTTTTGTAAGGTAAGAAAATACAAGTTAAAAGTTGCTTTTTTATAACCAACTAACAAATACCAAAAGCTATTGACTGGGTTATAGAGTTTCAAATTCTTGCCTGGTACAAACCACTTGCCCGACTCTCAAGCTCTTGCACATGTGTGGAACTAAATATAAACATAATTTTAGATTACTATATTTAACTTCAATCTGTGTACAATGCATGTTTGGATTAGTGTGTGGTATGGTGACCTAGTTAATGCAAGTTAGGGCACAATGGTCAACCTCAAATAGTGTCAGGGTTGTAATTTACACCAATCACTGCACTGCTATAAAGTTATATATCAGACTCTTTCAGAAAACTCTTTCATTATTTTTCTTACCCACCCAGAGAGTAAATTTGATTTTATACTTCCTAATTGATTGTTTCTACTTCCTTCAGCCCGAAAATGAGAGTATCCTTTATAGTCTTTTCTTCTAGTGCAGAAGTAGTCTTGCCTCTCACTGGAGACAGGTGCGATTTCATTCAGTCTATTGTGAGTCATACAGTAATATTGTTAGTATAAATCCAGATAAAAAGCATAAAGCTGATGTATTTGCCTGGGTGTTTAGGGCAGCTATTGATATTGGTCTGCAAAGTTTGAGCAAGATCAGACCTGCTGGTGATACCTACATGCATGAGGGGTTAATAAAGGTAAGTAGATGATATACTATCACCAAAAGCATTGCATCTTTTTTCTCCTACTATGTGTATGTCAGAGATCATAACAAATAAAAACATTGTAGGTATTAGAACAAATGACTACCCAGGGCACAAGAGCATCCAGCATCATTATTGCACTGACTGATGGGAAGTTGGAGGTCTATCCGCATGATCTTGCTGTGAAAGAGGTAAAGCAGCATACCACATATATGAAATATTAATATCGCATAAGCATTTATTAAATGGAAACTATTGCATGTTTGAACTGATATTTAAAATCTTCCACCTTGTTTTGCAATAAAGGTTTGACATGTTCTGGGTTTATATTAATATTATGCATATTAATTTTGAATAAACTATTTAATGAATTCCCCATTCGCTTTCTCAGGCTGATCAGGTGAGACAGTATGGTGCTCGGGTATACTGTGTTGGCGTGAAGGACTTTGATGCAAACCAGGTAAGACTGTTCATCAGAGAGATGGAACTTTCTGTAGCCTATATTAAAAATGTGCAATTTTCATCTACTGAATAACAAAAACAAACAGAAAATCCCATTGACTTACATTGTATATTATATCTAGAGACTACAATATCATATAAACTTGGAAGTGGACTCTTTTGACTTTGATCATTAAGCAATCAGCTATTTCACACTGCATTTCACACTGGCAAGCAAAACAAATTTTCTTCAGAAAATGTAAAAAATCTATTTTCTAACATTCTGTTTTGTCTGAATCTATTATAGTTCATTAGTTGTTGGTGCATCACTGTCACGGGAATGTTGTTGTCATGACGATATTGTTTTTTTCATGTGCATTAGTAACAGCATTAGTGTAACAGAGGGATCCTTTATATTGACGTTGGTGGATGGGCTTGTCCGATGCTGAGTGTAATTGCATTCTGCAGAGCACATATCCGGCCCGTTTTACATTAGCAAGAGATTGCTTCTGGCTTGGGAAATGGTAGCAAGATTGCTTCAAGAATTGGCAGCTACGGTGATTTGAGATTATGAAAAGAAAAGTCATTTCTGAGATGATCTGCCAGTTTTAATATGTTTTCATAGCTTACAGATATTGCAGACAGCAAAGATCAAGTGTTTCCTGTTGTGGATGGATTTCAGGCCCTCAAAAACATTGTAAATTCGGTGAGGTTTAGCACAAACAAAGAGTGCTTTTCTTACATGCGGTTTGTATGCTGCCTTCTAATTGACTTGTATTTGTGTTTACAGATTTTAAAGAAATCCTGTGTAGAGATTTTTAACCTTGAGCCCTCCAGCATTTGCGTGAATGGTAAGTCTAACGTCGCATTTACATTACATGGTTCAAGTGACCCAATTCTGATTTTTTTCCTCTCATGTGGCACAGATCGGATATGACCCACGAATATGTAAGCAGGAAAAAAAGCACATGGATTCCGATATTCGTTGAAATAAATCAGACATGAATCAGATGCATGCATTTGTGTCTACAATGTAAGTGGACAGATTGGATATTCCAGGGTTGCCAGGTCACACCCCAACTGCTATTGAAAAATAGCCCAAAACTAAGCCAATCGTGTTTTTTCTCTGTTGAAATAGTTTAAAAGAGCAACAGTTTAAAAGTAGCCCAATTCACATGGCAACACTGGGATATTCCCCAGTCAATGCGAGTTGTGTGATATTGAAAAAGAGACAGTGGCAACTGACGTCAACTCAGGTGGACACTTTTCTGGGCAAAGTCTGCAGTTTTCTTGCGGAAATGGCCTACTTTTACACCGTGTCCAAACTGGACAAGAGCGGCGCAGCGTGACGCGATGCAACAAAAGACAATAGAACACATTATACTCAGTAGTGCTGTGCGGCGCAACGCGGTGTGATGCAACAAATCCCTGGCATTAAATTGATGCCTCGTTCTAATTATGATCCGTACTGACACAAAGTACAAATGATTTGCAATGTTTGCTTTACCACGCCCAGTGTTGACAGACTTTACGGTGCATTCACACAGGGCATCAGCGTTTATGCTTCTCATTTACTTTGAACGGGTGATGTTATGCGTTGCCAAACCCAATTGTGGATCCGCTGTGTTGCGCCACTAGCGTTGCTCATGGCAGAACTTTTCAAGCACCAGCGCAGGTGTCAGCCAATCAGATCGCCTTATTCAAATACCCTAGCCAATCGCGTTCATGCGACACCAGAAAAGTAATGTAATTGAAGAACGAAGTGATCAACGTCGACGCCCCGTGTATTTGTACCGTTAGCTGCTGTGGCGTGACATGACAACTGTTCGGTGTAGACACAGTGTTACGCTGTTGCTGTGGGTTGTTTTTTAGTTTGCATGTTAAAGTGATCTTCACCTCACCCCAGAATGTGATTTCGAGGGACTCCCGATGACTGAGTTTGTTTTGTTTTAGCAATTGGGCTGGTTTTGTTTTGCAGACCTGGCAACCCTGTTTCCGGGTCAACATCTAACTTTTAAAAGTAATACTATTTGGATAGAGTCAACAAATCGGAATTGGGCATCAAGCCTAAAAGGTCCATGTAAACCAGATTTTTTATCTTTTTGAACTCATGATCATGACTAATTTCAGTGTAAACACTGTGTTTTAGAAACTTTCAACATTGTTTTGCGAGGAAGGGGATTCACGCAGGGAAGAACCTCAGAAGGTGTGGTCTGCACATTATCTGTCAATAAACAGGATCCTTACAGTAAGCCACTGAATGCATTCCATCTATTATAAAACATGACAAGACGACCTATCCACAAAGATATGCCTTAAAAAAACAAGCAATATAATTCACCTCCCCATTCAGCAAATGAATAAATAGCACATTAAACCACAATGTTATTATTATTTGCTAGGAAGAGAGGTCCTAAACTCTGCATGGGCTCCAGAGGCTCTTGCTTTTTTTAGCCGATGGGGAAGTTTCATGCAGCCACATCCTTAAATAAGGCCTCTGTGTTTCAGCCTGTATTTGGCATTTTACGGCAATCTCATGCTGCTCTCTCTTCCTTCTAGATGAGAAGCCGAGTGCAGTGAAGGATAATTACGTGCTGTGTCCAGCTCCAGTGCTGACCGAGGTTGGACAGTAAGTGGCATTGGACCAGCTTCAGTTGGAGAACAGTGTCTCTCCATTCAGAGCCACAGCTGTTACAAGCCGACATGCAAAGGGAACGAGTTCATCATCTTTTCCCAGGGGTTTTTATCTCGGCTTCTGTTTATAGCTTAGCTAATAGACAACTGATAAGCAGCAGGCTCAGTGCAGGGCTGAAACAAAGCAGCATGTGTGACGGCAGCACATTTTTGTTTGCCGTAGTGCACTGCCTTAAAGAGACATGCATGAGATACCGTTTGCTTTGCGTCATGGCCAAATTTGTTTTGAACAGATGAAAGAGACTTTTCAACAGACATTCATCTTGTTGTTTTAAAAAGAATACTTCAGTACAGCGCTGTTGGTCTTTTTGTATGATGAACTATGGTCCGCCTCTGGCATTTAATCCAGTAATAACGGACTTTCCCTCTCTCAACAGCTCCCTCGAAGTGCTTATTAGTCTGAATAATGGCCAGTCTTTCATTTCAAGTCCAATCACAATATATGCCACAACATGTGTAAGTACACAATACAGTTTTTAACAAAACAAATGTAATAATACATAAATTTGCCAAAAAGGTCAGCAAATATCACAATAAACAATCTGGTTATAGGAACATAATTAAACCAAAGTAGTTGGTTATTGCATGTTCTCTTGAAACAATGGATTTTAATACAGCGTCAGTGTTATTTTAGTTTATATATATATATATACAGTATATATATATATATACTGTATATACACACACACACTATTATTGTATTTTTGTAATATTTGAGTAAACATGTTTTATTTTCATTTATAATTTTTTTTTTGTTTTAGTTATTGTTATCCATTTTTTTTATTAGTTTTTGATTTTATTATTTATTTCAGTTTAAGTAAATTTAGTATTTAAAGTCATTTTATTTTAGTTTCTAATTTCTCATTTGTTTTAGCTTTTTCCCATGTAATATTTATTTTTAAATATATTTCAGATATATTTAAATTATATATAATAATGCTCTGAAAAGAAAGCTTTACTGGTCACCAAGGATTTATTTGATCCAAAATACAGCAAAAACAGTAATTGTGTGATATATTTGTTTTCTATTTGAATATACTGTAAAATATAATTTATTCCTGTGAATAATTCTAATATGCTGATTTGCTGTTCAAGAAACATCTCTGTTTATTATCAATGTTGAAAACAATTGTGTACACTTTTTTCAGGATTCTTTGATGAATAGAAAGTTCAAAAGAACAGCATTTAACTGAAATAGAAAGATTTTATAACATTTTAAATATCTTTACTGTCACTGTTGATCAATTTAATGCATCCTTGCTGAATAAAGGTAATTGTACACAACATTTGTACACAACTTTTATGATTCTAAATCAAACACATATTTTTTTCATTTCTTATAGTCTGATGGGACAGTGATAGTGATTGTCATCCTGGTGCTGCTGGTGTTGTTGGGTTTAATTGTGCTCTGGTGGTTCTGGCCTCTCTGCTGCATGGTGGTGAGCACTACAGATACACATCTTGTGTTATTTTCTACAAACGTGTATATTAATGAGATATTACTATTTATACAGACTGTTTTTCTACTCCTGTGACAGGTAATCAGAGATCCACCCCCATCTCGCCCTCCGCCTCCACGCCCAACACCTGTAGGTAGAGTACATTGGGGCTTGACATTTAAATTTGCCAAACTGACGATTTCTTGAAATGCTTGGTGTATATCTTACAGGAACCTGAGGAGGACCCTCTGCCGAAGAAGAAATGGCCTACAGTGGATGCGTCTTATTATGGTGGCAGAGGGCCTGGTGGCATCACACGGATGGAGGTGACTTAACAATCCAGTGCAATCCAAAAAAAACAGAACAAAAGTTCTATGGACATACGCTGAAGCTTAAAACATCCACAGGTTCGCTGGGGTGAGAAGGGCTCTACAGAGGAAGGGACGCGGTTAGCGAAAGCCAAAAATGCTGTGGTCAAAATGCCAGAGGAGGAGTTTGAAGAGCCTGTAAAAAGACCCCCACCCAGACCACCACCAATATATGAAGCCCCAGTCCCAGACAAATGGTACACGCCCATTAAAGTACGTTTCCTGTCAACACATTGACTTTTCATTGTTGGATGACTGTGGTAATGTATGTATTTTTACAAATGCCATTGTGCTTCTGTGTATTTTTCTGTGATGTGAATGTTTTTTAGGGGCGTTTTGATGCTGTGTTAGCATTGCTGCGAAGACAATACGACAGAGTTGCTATCATGAGACCCACAGCAAATGACAAGGTACGGTGGCCTTGGTTTATGCAAATCTGTATATTATGAACAACAGGAAAATAGCTTTTGTTAATTAAAATGTTTGGTTATCAATAAATACATCTGTTTTTCTTGTTTTTTTTATTTCATAGTGTAAAGAAAACAGTCAATTGATATTCTTTGATATTTTATAGTTTGTAGTTGTGAAGACAAATACAAGGAAATACTAGTTTTGCATTATGTAACTGGAACCTCACAAGTGACCATTTGGAACGCTCTACATAGGGAACAACAAATTTGTGTCACATACATAGCACTACACCTACAAAGACATCACTGTAAATTCTCTAGTTCTCTATTGCTTTTAATAAAATTTGGTGTATGTTGCTAAGCTAATAACGTGATACTATAACAAGCAAAAAAATACAGAACAAATTTCAAATCGTATATATATTTTTTGTTGATACTTTATATTTATACTTGGTGCTTATAAGTATACTGTATGTATATTTTTAATGGTAAATTCTTTTTTTTTTTTTTTTACACTGAGCTTGTCACAGTGCATTATGGGATTGTTCTTTTTGTAAAGTAATCTGCAATTTGGCAAAAGGAGGTACAGTATTTTAGACTACGTCTACATTAATCCGGATCCAGAAGGTGTTTTCATTTAAAAAACACTGTCCGTCTATACCAGCATTTTAAAGCATTTTCCAAAAGTTTATCGTCCCCACACTTAAATGTTGGAAAATGCTTAAATCATCTTACTGCATATGTGTCAAATGTAATAAAAGTGCATTGAGATGATACTAAGAGATCAGACAGACGTAATAAAGTTCTCATGGAATTCTTCTGGCACTATCATTTTAGCAAAATATCCACTAGTTTTTTATCAAAATGTCCAAAAGCTAGCTGCCAACTGATGACTAATTTACTATTTTTTGTTTCCTGTAATTTTGCGGTTTCCCTCTTGCATCACACTCCAGGGTTCCCTTATGGTGTGTGCATACCAAAAGCGCATTAAAATTATTTGCGCTAGTAGATTGCATACAAAGTCATTGCAAGGACGGAAATAGATGCGAATTCGCGCCGGGTGACGCAAATGACACAAATTGAGCAACTTCAGTTCGCCTCGATCGCGTTTTCCACCCAAGTTGAAAAATGTCAACTCGAGCGGAAATTTCACTTGACCTGGTGTCTAGAGCGACAATGCGACAAATGCGATTCTAGAGCTACAACGCGATATTTGCATAGATATATAGATATATAGATTAAGATTATCTATATATAGAAATGTATATATTTCTATAAAATGGAAGATATAGATTATACAGCATGTTAGCATTCTTATCGTGCCCAAAAGCATCATTCATTTAAGTCCATATGTCTTGCTAACAAGAAACTATGCTTCTAACCACAAGTCAAAGGCTGTAGTTCCAACCATGCAAGTTTGCGACGCTGTTTGCGAATGTTCGTTTAAACAATGGTTTCGGGAAACACCGACTCATTTAACTATGTTGACGGAAATTGCGACCATAGTTGGCTAACGATGCTTTTAGGAAACGCATCCCTCTGGTCAGGAGCCTATGATGCCTTAAAACGCTGCTTATGTAAAAATCTCACTAGGCTGTAGAACAGAGGCATTGTGTTGCTCATGCAACCGCTTAGTGCAGTCCCTCATTTGGTCCACTGAAAAGGCTCATTAGCACTAATAAGCTGCACAAATGAGGCTGACAGCCCTGTCACAGACAGACCAGATCACACTCTCGTCATACATCTCGTTACGGTAGTACGTCTGTGTGCGGTGCTCCGACTGGTCATGAACTGACCCTCAAACACACACTCATCAGAGAGGAGTCGTCACTATTACACTCATTAGGTTGACCTGACTGTCAGAGTTCAAGTTGTCATGATGTGGCACTCTGTGTCGGCAGTGTCTGACACTTCACTGCCGAGAGTGACCTCTGACCTCACACTGATTGGACTGTCACACTTAGTTTGAGTTTAACTGAACGTCCTTCTAGGGCACAATGAGAATATTGTTGAAGTGTTTGGCTATGGGTGGCAGTAGATCATTGCACAAATAGTTCATTAATTCTTTTACTAAAATTCCTACGGAGTTTTATTTTTTTTAAGGCCTGTTCATACCAAGTTTGATTACTAAAATGCATAAGAAAAAGAAAAGATACCAAAATATAATCTATTTAAATATTTTTTCACCTTTTTCTTATATTATTCCCTGTTTACTTGTCTTTAGGAGTTCTATGTGTTTAAAGCCCTTTCATACCAAGTATGATGTGAATACCAGCCACCAAGCAACCAACTGCATAGCAATGCCATTGCAATGCAGTGGCAGGATTTTCAAGGACAAGCACCCCTTATTTTCTTGTTATACATGTTTTTTTTTTTCACACCAAAGATTCAGACTTGCTGTAAACAGAGCTTAATTATTAACACTGGTACCTGTTCTACATTCATGGTACCAGATCTGTCCAAACAGGGTTTGTCAAAGATTAGTGTTGCTTGATCAGCCTGCCTGACCTCCAGCATTCCTGCTTCCTTACCGCCAATTAAAATCAAACCTTCTCTCAATTGAACTCAATTATTCCAAATTATCGTACATGTCAGCGTGACAAAAATATTGTCAAAACAATTCTTTTTTTTACCATATGAGTTGCATTAAAAAAATCCAATGTGGATGATTTAGCTTGAGTACTGAGTTAATGTGATATGGACTAGTCAGTGAATGGTGGGTGAAAGATCTTTCACCAGTCTCAAAATGAGGGCATAGCTAGTAACATGAGGCAGAGACATTAGGGGATTCGATTTGTCATAATTCACATTTATAAGAGATAATGGGGTAAAGAGATGAGTGTGATTGTAAGAGGGGGTGGTGGGACAGTCGGTCCTCCATTATGGATCTGTAATGTAGAGTAACATCCTGCTTTTGTTGTTTTTTTGTCTTTCAGGGGCGCTGCATCAAATTCAACCGAGTTCAACGTCACTGACCAAACACGATGTGTCCTTTACTTTAAAGTAAGTTCTCATCAATTTTAAGATACTATTTGGAAAGCCCAGAAATTCTGATGTGGGATTCACAATAAATGTCTCTTTTCAGGTACATTCAGACAAAAAGGATTGGGGGATCCACAGCTGTATGGACACAGTGTGAAAAGCTGTACTTCTGAATTAAAACCTTTGAATTTTAATTCTTACATGTGTAAATCTATCCTGCTGATTTCTTTCCGCATGTCTTTGAATATGGTGGAATTCACTGCTTTTATAACAATTAATTTTTTTAAAGGTTTTCTAGTTACAAACCAATACAGTGCCTTCTTGTGAGTGTATTATGAATGGGTTTGTCAAGGAAAGAAAATGTAAATTATTATTTTTATTTCCATAGTTATTTCTTTAATTATTAGTAGTAAAGATGTTAATTATCCAGTAAATTCATGGAGATGTGCATTTAATTATTTGTTCTTATATTTATTTATAACAATTTGATTTAATCAGTAGATTACATGCGTGACACTGTTTGTTAATGAAGTAAATGGCATATAAATTCAATAAAATAAATTATAGTAGTTCACTTGTTCACTTAAAATTTTTGTGGAAACTGTGACACATTACAGATCAAAAGTTAACAGTAATATTTAAAAAAAACTTTAATTACTATTTAATATGCTGCATTAAATTGATCAAAAGTGACCGTAAAGACTAATGTTGCAACAGATTATTGTTGTATTTCAAGTCATTTTGAATTTTCTCTTCATCAAAGAATACTGAAAGAAATGTCATGATTTCCACAAAATATTAAGCAGCAGAAATACTTATAGGCCTAATAATAACAACAGTTAACTTCCAATAATAATTGAGAAGCAAATCAGCATATTAGAATAATTTCTGAAGGATCATGTGACTCTTTTCAGGTATGTTAAATTCATCAGTTAAATTGTGACATTGTTAATGAAGTAAATGGCATATCCATTAGGCCTATATTAAATAGTAGTTCACTTGTGAGCATATGATTTATTATGTAATGAAACGGCTTGTATTACCTTAAAAATAAAATGCAAAATGGTTCATTCATGAGTTTTTACAATGATCAATGAATTCTTGCCGTAGTCCTCAAATGGTCTGATAGAATATGAACAGCCTAGTAGAACGTCTGATGAAACATGGTAGGGATTAGTCTGAAACACAATCAACAGACTGTATAATGTCTGATTATTGCATGTTACAATGTCTGGATTTTCCAAATTATAATCCTAATCTCTTATATGTTATGAAAGATTATTTTGCTGAAAGGTAAAAGGGGGGGGGGCTGAGAATCAGACACATTATTTATTAAATATATAAAAATTTCTATACGAAATGTTGCTTTTTTTTGTAACATCTATTTAAATCATTACGTTTTTAATTGCTTCATTTCTTTGCATATATATATATATGCTTTTTCCATTCAAAAACATCATTCATGAAGCGAGAGTGACTTGCCGTCGCATTGTGTGTCTGTCGCAGGATTTTAATGTCACACACTCGCCTCTTTAGCCTTTAGCTGGTCGGCTAACCGCCGGTCATCAACATGACGCTTATATTCTGTTATTTATTAAACAGAAATTAAGAAACAAACAGGGCTGAATGGGATAGACGGCAGGTCTTTACCTGGAGGTGAGAGGTTTGCTGTACTTACACTGAGCTCTAATGGGTTTAAAAGCCTAATCTAATCCTCATTAAAGCGCAGTTGTTGTTAGCCTGCAGCAGACATCAGCGGCACAATCTAAACATTTAACGTTATGTATGTTTAAACCTTTAGAGCAATATACGGGAATTTATTGCTTGTTTGGTTGTGTTTATAATATATAAATGCTCAGGAAAATATAGAGACATTTAAATATGAATGAACCTTACGAGCCACAGATTTCAATACATGCAAAGTTATTAAAACCAACTCGAACAGTAGTGTAAATCTTGGCAGTTATCTTGCTGATCTGCTTTTAGAGCTTTTTTTGTTGGAGCTGATTTTTGGGCTTTAATGATACTGTGTGTGGGTATAGGGAGCTCGCTGTTTTGAGACACAGTCTTATTAAAACGGACAAGACATACATTTTCCTTGTTCCTCCAGACACATGAACCAAGATGCCTCAGAACACCCTCAAGAGCACTCATTACATTGAGCTGGGCAGTTATCAGTACTGGCCTGTGCTTGTGCCGAGAGGAATCCGATTATACACCTATGAACAGATCCCAGTGTTTCTGAAGGAGAATCCATACATCACAGACGGATACAGAGCACACCTGCCATCCAAACTGTGCCTCAAAAGGTGCGTTTCTTTCCCTTTTGATAGTGTAGATGTGTTGCCATTCGTTTACTCATTATTTCTCATATCCCACAGCATATTCATTCTGTCCAATGAGACTGTGAACATCTGGAGTCATCTGCTTGGGTTCCTGCTGTTCTTCTTGCTGGGAGTGAATAACATGGCCACAGTCCTGCCGTCTGCAGGGGCGTCACGAGAGGACTATGTCATTTATTCAATCGGACTGTTTTGTTTTCAGGTAATATATAAAATGTGCGGTAGGAAATAGGTAATAGTTCTATTAATGCGCTTTGACAGAGCTTAGATAATCATGTGTAATACACAGGAACAAATAAGTGTTACATATTAATTAATGGGTTTTTCTTTTTTTTTATTCTATGGTCAGGTTTGCATGCTGTGCTCTGTGGGCTATCACTTGTTCTGCTGTCATCGCTCGGAGAAGACGTGTCGCCGCTGGCTTGCTCTGGACTATGCTGGAATATCCGTGGGGATTTTGGGATGTTATGTGCCTGGAGTCTTCTATGCCTTCTACTGCAACAGTGTATGATAGATGTGTTTTATAAGAGCGGACTTCAAGTCTGACAATGGATGGTTTCTTTTTACAGCTTTAATTTAATTTGTATTGTTTTTATTGCATATATTAAATTAAATGCATTATGTTAATTAATGTTGAATTAGCTACATTTAATTATTTATTCTAATTTTTAGCTATTTATTTATTTATACATATTTATATTATATACACTACCAAGAAGTCAAAAGTTTGGAATAATTAAAAAAATTTTATGTTCCTAAAAAGACATATCTTATATTCACCGAGGCCTGCATTTATCTGATCAAAAATACAGTAAAAATAGTAGTGTTGTGAAATATTATTACTATTTAAAATAGTTGTTTTATATTTGAATATATTTTAAAATGTAATATGTGACCCTGGAGCACAAAAGCAGTCTTAAGTCGCTGGGGTATATTTGTAGCAATAGCCAACAATACATTGTATGGGTCAAAATTATCGATTTTTCTTTTATGCCAAAAATCATTCGGATATTAATTAAAGATCATGTTCCATGAAGATATTTTGTACATTTCCAACAGTAAATATATCAAAATGTAATTTTTGATTTGTAATATGCATAAGCACTTCATTTGGACAACTTTAAAGGCGATTTTCTCAATATTTAGATTTTTTTTGCATCCTCAGATTCCAGATTTTCAAATAGTTGTATCTCGGCCAAATATTGCCCTAACAAACCATACATCAATAGAAAGCTTATTTATCTCCATTCCAAAAAACTGACCCTTATGACTGGTTTTGTGGTCCAGGGTCTCATATAATCCTGTGATGCAAAGCTGAATTTTTAGCATCATTACTCCAGTCTTCAGTGCACATGATGTTTGTTTCAGTTTTGGAGGCAGGTGTACCTGCTGACGGTGCTGGCTCTCATCCTGGCTGTGTTTGCGGCTCAGATTCATCCGCTCTACCTCACACAGCAGTGGAAGAAACTGCGCTCTGTCATGTTCTGCTCTGTGGCCGGATACGGCGTCATCCCAGCCTGCCACTGGGTCTGGCTCAATGGAGGATTTGACTCTGAAATCGTAAAGGTGATATATTTGCATTGAGACACTATGAGGAGGGAAATAGCAATATATCACTTCTACCAGTGACGATTGTGGTACTATTAATATTGATCATTCTTTGCAGGTGTTTTTTCCTCGAGTCATGATCATGTATTTGATTGCCGCCTCAGCATTCCTTTTCTACGTCAGTAAAATCCCAGAACGATACTTTCCAGGTGATGTTTTCTATATTAAATTGCTATATTTTATTGAAGGAATTGTTCACCCCAAAATGAAAATTTGCTGAAAATGTCACGCCATCCAAGATGTAGACGAGTTTGTTTCTTCATGTGAAAAGATTTGGAAAAATGTAGTATTACATCATTTGATCACAAATGGATCCTCTGCTGTGAATGGGTGCCGTCAGAATAAGATAAAAACATCACAATAATTCACACCACTGCAGTCTTAACGTCCAATTAACGTCTTGTGAAGTGAAAAGCTGCATTTGTAAGAAACAAATCTATCAAGGCATTTTAGCTGTATATTTCTCTCCTGATTCAGATGCAATATTATGGATAGAGGACTTTTAGCCAGAAGCAACGATTTGAAGTTAAAAACATCTTAATGATGGATTTGTTTCTTACAAACACGCAGCATTTCACTACACAAGATGTTAATTGATGGACTGGAGTGGTGTGGATTATTGTGACGTATATATCAGCTGTTTGACGGCACCCATTCACTGCAGAGGATCGATTGGTGAGCAAATGATGTAATGCTAAATTACTCCAAATCTGTTCTGATGAAGAAACAAACGCAACTAGATCTTGGACGGCCTGAGGGTGAAAATCTTTTACCCTTCTTTTTATACCATATATTTGGGGGGGGAAAAAACTCTTTTAATACTGATGTTATATTTAAAGTTGTTAAAAACTATCAAATCCAGATCACCAATCTAATTCTGGTTACATGGCTTTTTTTTTTTCTTGAATCATGTTGAAATAATCTAATCAAATAAAATCGAATTGACCAAATTAGTCAAGGATCACATTGATTCAGAACAAATATTTACCCACCTTTTTATGTCTGTCCTCACAGGCCAGCTGAACTATCTTGGAGCCAGTCACCAGCTCTGGCATGTGCTGGTGGTGGTCATGTTCTACTGGTGGCACCAAACCGCTATCTACATCATGAAGTACAGACACAATCTGCCCTGCACAGACTACAGCAGTCATGGTTAAGCGCGGTTATAAAATCACCTGAGCCATTTATGTTCAACAAATTCATTTGGTTTTTGTTTGGCATTATTTTAAGTTGTGCTAATAGAATCAAACAATGAAACTTTACCTCTCATTTCAGTCATTTGCCTTTGAACACCCTACTGTAGGGTTACGTGCAATGAAAATCACGTTTCGTGTAATCAGTCGACTTCCTCTGCCTGAACAAATGTTTCATACATATTCACTGCTGGATATCAAGTGTCTTTGTCTGTTACTTCATGTATTTTGTTTTCTACTGAGCCTTTTCCCCATGGTATCATTGGGGTTGTGAAACTATACATGCTGATAATATGTTGCCTAACTTTTCTGGAATGTCCTTAATTTAAATGCTCTTAACTATCACTGTTCTGTGACTGAGGAATTATATGGTAGAGGGTAATTCTGTAATTTCTGTAATCAATAAAGGGAGTTGTTTTGATGTATTAAACACATTTGAGTTCATGTATAAAGCAGCACTGGAAATTGGGCATTTAAATGACCAAGAAAGCATTACTTCAGTACTTTTTGTGAACAATGGGTCAAAATCACTATACTTGCACTGTACTTGCACTGAATTGATTATGAACATGGCGGCCGCTAGCCTACTGTACAAAACCTTTTGTGTGACTTTCTCCGTCTCATCCTTTTTAAACGTGTTGATGGTTTAATTTTCTTTATTTGATATGATGTAAACTGCCTGTCTGAATGAATATATCTGAATTGTGGAACTGAATAAAAAAATCTTTTGTACTTCGTGTGTAGCCTATTGTGTAGCTGTACAAAACAGCTTGATATCGCAAACTGGTGTGTCTTACCATGTTATTTTAATGTATTATCTTCATTATGAACACACTGGTTTGTAGTGCAAACATACCGTTTACTGCACTTTCTCGTTATTTCACTACAGCGGCTAATGAACCGGAAGTCAAGTCTCGCGCATTCACAAAAAAACGGTTCAACTTCCGCGTTGAAAAATAAGGTTCATAAAATAAAATTTAACACACTCAAATTGTAATATTTGAATATTTTCAGTACGCTTCATTTGTAACATTTCAGAATTATAGTAAAAAGTATAAAAACGGTTCGTAAGTGAAATCTAAATTCACCTAAATGTTGAGTTGTTGAACGATTCAGTCGAACTCGCGAAAGAATCGGTTCCATAAACAAAAGAACGAATCCGACTTCGAACTGAATATCAGAACTGTATTCAGTATACTGTATTTTACAACTTTTGTTCGTGAGTTATTTCAATATCGTAATCCTTCAGGACATTGAATGTTATGCCATGTGAAAGCTGACCTTGTGTCATGGCCTGTCTTTAATCCCTTAATGATACCATCATACATGGAGTTTTGGCTTAATAAAAGAGCAGAATTGTCTTAATCATATTAATCTGTTTTAATCCGAGTGTTTTGTTCTACTCTAGTGGCATTAGGGATTTTCCAGGGCATTGTTCTTTTCCTGTCTGAAGACTAATTGAAAAGAGAGAATGTGGTTTAGAGGTCAGGTTTTCTTTTACTGAACAGCTGTATATTATGAACAGTAATTAAGAAAATCTGAGTCACTTCTGCAGACTGTTTGTACACATGCTTATCTTAATTTGGACATGCTGTCTGATGAATTTCGATAAAAACCCAAATGACTATGTAAAATCAGTTTTCACTGCATAAACATTTCTTTATTGCTCATAATACTGTGTCTTGCTTTATCTCCAAGTGGAATAGGCCTATTAGCACTGATTGCAAGCAATATCTCATGAGAATGACTTTCCCACAAAATCATACTTCTGGGCCTCAAATCATTTCACAATCTGCCGTTGACCTCACAGATGCTCCAGAGCAAATTAAAACCAGTTTCAATTCTCATCAGTGGTTTCTTTACTGGTGAAAGGAGTTAAGAATCTTTTGTTGGCTTTAGCAGCATCTGCAAACATCACTTTCTCATGACAATCTGCTTTGTTTTGGGGGATTAGATAGTAATAATCTCCAAATGAGGATGAAAGTCTAATTTCAGCAGCTGAATTATGACCAAATGTCATCCTAATTCTGTTTTTATATGTACTTATGAGTGCGTGACAAGGCAAAATGAGCAGTCTCTTAAATGCTTGTCCCACTGAAATCCCAAAAGATTTTAATCGTTGACACTTTGGTACCAAATACATGTACTTCACTTCCACCTGCTGGATCAGGGACAGAACAACACATTGAAGACTATCTCAAATCTCAAAATTTCATAGAAAAAAAGAAGTTTATTCTTCAGTAACTGTCAGCTATTCATTCATTATGTAGACATAGTGTGTAAAAAATTGCCAAATTAAAATGCAGTTTCTGATACTAAAAATATTTTGTTATATTAAGGTTACTATGAAACCAAGTATACGTGTTAATTATCTATGATTATAAACAAACGAGTTAGTTCAAGAATACATTTCATAAAGCTCTTCTGATTTATTGATAGCATTTTAATTGTAATAAAGTTATATTTGGACATTCTTTCACATTATAACACTTCAGCGGTGATGTATTCTTCTTTGACACATTCATTTTCCATCTTCACCACAGATCTTCAGCAGGGTTTGACGAAAATCCCCTGATGTTTCAGACTACAATAAAGATATAAAAAGGACATTATGAATGTGACTACTGACATTAAACCTTATACTGCACTTGCTAAATGTTTACAACCTTTATTTATTTATTATTTGGAAATATATTTATGATCTTTGTTAAAAGCACTGGTTTTAGTGTGGCAAAAATGAAGAGACCGGAGGGCAAAAGCAACTTCATAGTAAAGTAAAAACAGTAAAGTATGGAAAGTGAACAAAGAAAGAAACATGCCAATGCTTTAAAGCAGCAGATTTGTGATTACAATGGGGACGTCAGGTCGCAGTGCAAAGCGTGTTTGATGTGTAGAGGCACACATGCCGGTCAAAAGAATGCTGCAGTACAATGTTAAACTCACGTGTTTTCGCATTTGGTTTTACGCTGAACCTCAGAGAAATCGGTATGACTTTGGATGTTGTCATGCAGTCAATTGAATTAACAAATTCAATTTATGAACCCCTTCAAGATGCATCAGCCAAATGCTGCCTTGAAGAGCCTACTGTACGCGTTCAGAAGTCATAATCTTGACTACAAGCGATTTTGGTCAGAAAATAATGTACTTGCTTGACAATTTCATATTTAATTCTCCCTTTTTCAATTTTTGACAAAGACGGGACGCTTTATGCTTTTTTTAAGCAAACTGAAAAGGAAAGGATGTGCAACTCATGCTTTTCTATGCATTTTACAATTCTTGTGCAGCCACAGTGAATGATGGTAAACGTTTAGTTACACAAACCCATCACCTCAAAAACCTGCTAGTGATTTATGATAAGCTTTAGAATTATTCTTCATTAACAGTGCACAGAATTCATTCAACTGTAAGTTGCTTTGGATAAAAATGTCTGCCAAATGAATAAATGTAAATGTATGTAAACAAATCAACACAATTAAAACTTAATTACGACAATACAATTATCCTCATCATAATTTTTTCACTGACACGCCCCAACTCAGTTAAAGAAAAACTAGTCCCCCTCCGGTAATTACAACATTTTAGTGGCACTCATGTGCACTCAATTTGAAAATAGGATATGATAAACACATGACTTGAAGGCAGCTATAGCCAAGAGAACACACACAAGGTCCTACAGGGTGGGGCTAATCACCAGTCCCGCCCACTGAGGATGTCAATAATTTCATCTGCGAATCCTTATCAGACACTGGCCAAAGTTACCGCCTACCTCACACTTTAACCAGAGCTGTTCAGATATTACTGAAGGTGTACATATACGAAAATGGAACAAGGTCTTGTTACAATCACATGAATATGAGCAGGAAGACATTCTAGACTTACACTGTAAAATAATGTTCTTTGACGTTTATGGAGAATGTTTTTTACAAGAAAATACTATTTTAGTCTTTCTACTTCAAAATTTCACATGTAATTTTAATGCGTTACATGTGATTATTTGTGAAGTTTACTTGCACTGGTGAATGTTTCTACAGCATATTTTTTTCAGTGTAATGTACAGTGTACAAGTTCTCATTTAATGCTTCTTACCTCAATGTCAGAGTATAAAGAAGTGCCAAAGAGCTTCTTATATTCTGCCTTGATGTCCTGCAGGTCGACCTCTGAACGGCCCACTATGATTCTAGTTAAGGTAGATTCAGTGGTACCAGCACCCTGAAAGCACAGATGTTTCTGGTTCAAAAATAGTCTGCTTATAGAGGCATTGCAGAATCTTGTCACTGTATATCATTTTTGTAATAGGGGAAGAAAATAAAGGAAGTGAATACAGAAAGACAGTTCTAACCTTCATGCTTTTATACAGACGCTCCGCAAGGTATGCTGGGACGCTCTTCACACATTTCACTAAAGCAGAGACATTTTCAATTAGATTTTACAAGTACAAAATTAAGGATGAAACAATAAAATATAAAATAAAATACAATAAAACAAAAGATTACGTAAAAAAAAAAAATCAAAACAAAACGGAAAACACTTATGCATTTTATGAGGAATAATAATACGTGCCTTAACAAATACAGCCCTCTACAAACACCTTGGCAATTGAATCCGTTGCACATCCATTCAGATTAACTGAAAAACAGCACAGATCGCTTAGTGGAGAGTGAAACTCTGATGCGCTCAGTCAGAGAGTGTTCGGCGAGTGAAAATATATCTGAGCTAAACTTATACTTAGCCTCCAACTCACACACTGGCGAGTAAAATCTGAGAATTTATTAGCAATTGGCTAATATTAGACATCATTTAGTCGCCAGAGTGAAGATTTAGTCGCATATGCGAGTGATTTACTCGCAATGTAGAGGGTTGAAATACCAGTAAAAAAACCTTTATAATCACCTATAGCCACCAGAATATCCTCCAGTCTTCCAGACATCTCTCGTTCAATGCTTTCCTGAAGGGTCTTTCCACTCAGACTCTTATACTCAACCAGAGCTGAAAGATAAAGATTGAAACGCGATTCACACTGCTGAAAGTAAACTGGAACACTGATGATCATCACTTATTGGTCTTGTGTATGACTCTGTCACATTTAGTTTTACAGCTCTTTCAGAATGATTACAAAATGGTATATAAAATAATAGATATGAAACTAAGCCGGCAGGTGTACTTTGTCTGAGCTGAGGAACGCTCCTGTGGCAGAGGATGTCGATAAACTTGCTCTCGTCTGTTCCCCACTTTTTCTCTCCTGCCTCGTACAAGATCTGCACAGTGGGAAAAATAGAAGAAGAATGTTGGTAACCAAACAGTTTTGGTTCCCACTGACTTCAACTGTATGAACAAAAATATAATGGAAGTCGATGGGATCTTCTTTTATGTTCTGCAGAAGAAATAAAAAGTTTTGTCATGAAACACTAGATGGCGCAAGCCGATAGGTTCTAACTTAATCTGATATAATCACATCATTTTTCACATGGCACAACTGATTGGTTTCTTTTCACATCAGCAGCCAGTGAGCTGCTGCTTAATATTCAAATACTCGGCTAGTGCTTGCTGTAGCAGTTGCCAGTATTTTCAAGTCAAGATGGTAAACAGATTATCTTTTTACCAAGTTCAAGGGGATACCCATATGTTTGGATTGTTTGGAAATCTGTATTTTATTTAAATCGTCATCACACCACTGCTCACAAACAACGGGGACGCACTTGCCTAAAATTTCAAAGGTGAAATTCATAGTCTACAAAAGCTTTTGGCCAAATGCATGACAGAAATGTTTGCACTGGACTATGTTCTTATTAGGGTTTCCGCGGGTCCTTAAAACGTCTTCAGTTAAATTGTTTACATTTAAGGCCATGCAAACTCTTAAATGGTACAAAAAGTCTAAATTATAAGAGGTCTTTGGGGACGGAAAGACAAGAATTGCTATAAGGATTAATATGACGATTAAACTTCAAAAGGCTACGATTTCACTGAATAAACTTGAGCGCTGCACGTCAGCTTTGTGTACTGCGGTTACCGGGGAAACCACTATATGCGCAGTTTCGAAAGTGAAACCTGCTGGCAGAGAACGAATTTGC